GAGAATTTATTTGAAACTCCAGGACTACACTTTTGAGCACAGCCGCGTCAATATGGCGATGCTGTTCCTCATATGGTTCTAATAAGATTCTTCAGGTTGTTGAAGACTGAACGTGCTATTGGTTTGATCAGTATTATCTTCACAACGATATGCTGATCATGGTTGAATTACGCGCACATTTGAAAATATCCACATTCAGCAATTTTACATAGCAACTTCACACGGCAATATTCCAATATTATTCCGATATATTCCGATATTCAAATATTTATTCCAAATCGATCGAAAATGTTTCAAGTTAGCACGATGGACGGACCAGGATTAAACATTTCTATAGGCTTACCAACAATAAGTGTATTTAAATTTGCAGTGGCCTCTTCACGCGAAGGACAGTGTATCTGTCTGCACCATTTGTATTTTCTCTATTAGCATAATAATTACCCACTTCTCCGCTTTCGAATAGGTTTTTCATTGAAGAGGAATACGGAACCCTTCGGGCGCAATCCGAATAATAATCTGTGTGTGGTTCCTCGAAGGAAACTGTGTCAGATGCGATCGAGGGATAGGTTAAGTAGCCAATCTATTCAGTATGATCTGAAACGCAACGGGCCAATTCACGCATTACCTTTTTTTTCCCGGCGAAAGAGTTTTGAAGATTCTTACCGAGCGAATACGTTGTTTCTTTATCATGTAAATCAAGGGGCCCGCCCGTTCACATTTAAACGAGTCCACTCGTCGTATGGTAATCCGCCGGTGTGTGCCCCTCATCCGATACAAAAGTTTCCGTATGGCCTATATATACATATATATTGTATGCGCACCTTCGCGTGCTGCAGCGAGAATGTTAATCAAAAGTGTCTGGCGAACTGTACATAAACTGCAACTACATTTATTTAAATATACCAACTGTGATTTCAGGGCATGTCCCGTGGAGCAAGCTGGTCGGAGATTTATGCGATGTAAAAGATGTTCGATTCAACAGTGATGCTTCGCTCGGGATTGAAAATGAGGATGCATGTGCGAGAACGGTGCCATCGGCTACATATTTTGCACCGAGTATGAAAAGTGTAGGGCGTTCAATGCGAATTTGTGATGTAAATCAGTAGATGGAAGTTGAAAGAATACGAAGATTAGCATCGGTATACTATTTTTAATTTATTCAAATTGACTGCAAATCCTTACGTTAATTGTCGCTTCCTCTTGATATTGTGATATTCTTTAGTCATGAATTGCGTGACAGTCTGATTTTTCGAGAAATAATTCATATTTTCATGTCTGCTCACCTTTGATACCAATTCAAAATTTAAAAGTTTGGAAAAGCCAGTTCTTTAGGCTTTCTTAAATGGCAAGGTCTTCTCTTAATTCAGCTTCGAATTGTTGCAGTTGTTACAGGAGCATTTACGTTAGCCAGGCTGATGACCAATTTTCATTGTCCCTTCACCAAAAAATGTATGTGCATTCTCAGAACACAGCTAAAACCTCCCGCGTAAACGATTCCCAGAGTTGTCCTAAAATAGCCAAGCTGAACTAGTCCGAATAGTCTAGTGTAGAAAATCGAATTCGACACAGTCCCCAATCGGTACATCGTTTCAGGAAACAAAGGAAGGTCCTGCGACGATTGTCCGTAATCTCGACGATCCATGAAAAACGTTCGAATTGCTGGGCATGGTCTCCAGCCTCCGGCAACCCGATAAATCCGCTTTGAAATGGGGATTTCGTAAAGCCCGGAATGATAGAAACGGCAGCCGATTAGCGTGGGTGCAGATGACGTCAGTAGGTCTCGAAGTCGAAGGTAAGCGAGCTTGTTAGAGCGCGTGGAGGAGTACGAAGGTTTTCACGGCTAATGACGGAGCGAGAGAAATGGCGAGATGGTAAGGATGACTGCGAGAGCCGGGGGGAGAGGGCAGATAGAGGGTGGAGAGTTCGAGGCAGGACATGAGGGACAGTTCACCAGCTTTACCCGCCGGCAATCCCTAGAGGTGGCAGTCCCGTTGCAAGCTGAACCTAGTCTGTGGTTGCTGGCTTGTTAGATCCAGTTTGGGGTTGGTACGGTCTGAAGAGGGGGTTGGCCAGCGGAGGGCGCCACTCTTCAGTAGACCGCAATCGGGTATGCAATTTACGTGGTGTCCGACCTCTGCGACCTCTCCCCCCCCCCCTCTCTCGCTCTCCTTCTCTCTCTGACTCTCTCATCCTCTCTCAGCGTCTCTTTCTGTGGCTCCTCCAACCCCTTATACCGGCGAGCTCACGTCCCGACCTCAGCATCCTACGTTTCATCCCTCCGCGCGCCTCATTTCTACCCGTTTTGCGCGTTTTTCCAGGATTCGCAGCCGTGTGCAAAACGAAGGTGGTACCCCAGGTAGGAGAGGCTGTCTTCCGTCGCTCGATACGCAACAGAACCGTGTGCTAGCTGTCTATCGGTCTGTGTACGTATGTGTGCAAGCGGCGAACAGTCCCCGCTAGGAAGCTGAATATTGTCGGTTTAAGGGACGATTGGTCCAAGGCGGGGAGGGAGAGAGGGGGAGAGGGCTTCTGCGGATATGGCGGAAGGAACGAAAGCCGATGGCTGTCGCGAGCAGAAGCTCCAACGGCGGTTAGGGTACGACTGGTTTCTTCCAATGAGAACACCACGTAAGATTTCTCCGTGGCCGAGGGTTTACGAACGCCGGTAATGACGCCGAGGAAATTGGAAGTAGCGAAGAATTGAAATTGCTGGAGCATACGAACTAACAATTCGTCGGGGGCGATGAGACGAGACGCGCCGAGTGTGCAGCCGCTACACGTCGCGCTCGTCGATCGTTCCGTTAACGCCACCACCGTTCCGGTCCCTATTCCCGATGCCGGTACCAGAAGATTTCGATTTCTCCGGGCTGGATTTGATCGAGCTTTTGTCCCAAGCCCGTAGGAACGTTTAATAATATTTCCCGTGGGAGGTAAATGAAAATTTCAGTGGAAATATTGTTGAGAAAAATATCTGAGATCTCGTTGACGCAAGTTTTTTTAGCTATTGTGGCGTCATTTGTGACTTTGCTCAAATTTCTCCTTCGCTACACTGTTTCTTATAAAAATAGATGTGATTTTTATTCATATCATTATTCTCTGTGCTTAATAGTTTTCAAGAGATATTGAATTTGTGAGGTTTTTGACCCTTCAGTTTGAGACGCAATTTCGACACTTAAATCTTGATATTTGTTAATTTGTTAATTATATATTTGTTAAATATTTTTTGGTCGAAATAGGAATTTGAAAGCAAGCAGCAATGCATGAGAATTTACATGATCGAATAGTCAAACTCTGTGCAATTAATTTCAAAACAATCGCCTGCAGAAATCATCGAACATGAATTATTACTATTATCATTGCTGTTTATTAATTAACCGGGCAAAATACCCCTTAAATTACAAAACATAACGTATATAGTGATTTTATTCGAAAATACATAACGTAAATTGCGTGTTAAGATTTGGAAGTCACAGAAAGATATTTATGTTGTGTTGCTATAAGAGTTTTCGTATCTGATAATTCCGTTAAAATTATTGTAATGACCATAAAGGGTGCGGTGGGACGAATAAATTGAGTTTACGATTACGGGGCTTGGTATTTAAAGCGAAGAGTTTTGATTACAACTGATTTAATTAAAAATTAATTGGAAGTTCAGGATAGGAGTAAAGTTGGAAAATGAATTGAAGGGTCGAATTTCGTTCGAGACCTATTTCGTTCGACCGAATATCCGAGTGGAGGCTCAGGGTAAAGACAAAGGTTGAGTTCGATGAAGCAGAGTGCTTGGAGTGATCCCAGGCACCAGGTGTTAGAAAGGTCTCAGGTTGTTCGACACGTTCCGATGTAAATGTCAGGTCGAGCGTTCCTAGCTCGCGTAATGCGCATGTTAATCGGTCGGGGCTACGTCGAGCAACGGTACCAACGGCATAATTCGCTCAATTTACAAGCCTTATCACAACCGTTGCATTTAATCGCCGCGAATTAGGTTACATGGTCAGCCTGACGTTGCCGGCTCACCAGATCGATGCTCCCTGCGAATTTTCGTATCGCGAGACCTTGTTCCTCGACGCGTACGAGAATCCACTCCTCCGTCATCGTTCCATCCAAACTGCCATTTTTACAAAATTAATTAACCTTCCGATCGTACAATATACCACGCGGTATATTGTCACTTTACCAGAATATATGAAAAGTTAATCTTACTTCTCTATAAGTATTATATTTACAATGAATAAGAAATATATAATTTCATTTTATGGAAACTAAAATAAGAGAGAAATCTCGTTCGCTCTGGCAGCATGATTTCTTCTGTTGAAAATAAAATCGTAATATCACTGGTACAGATCATTTCTTGTATTTCAGCGAGCACGTCTAATATTTTAGGCAAATAATTAAAGCGTCCTGTTAAATCGCGAAAGAATAGAATTAATTTACGATCGTTAACCATCAAACGCTTTCGTTTCTTCACATATTCATGCAATTTTCTTTCTCTTTCGATAATACTGGTTATCGAATCGTCTGGCAATCTGTGTAATCTCTGGTCTGTACGTTTCTAAAAATTCTATCCAACCTGAAGTGAAGCAGGTAACGTTATAATTTTCGAGCCATCTATCGGTTGCATTCACGAAGAGGATAGAACATTGTGAAAGAGAATGACAGTCGCTTCATTTTGACCGCTGTTTCGCCGCGAGAACTGTCATCCAACGATGCCCTGCATCGATTGACTGATAAAAGACTCCACGAAGAAAACGGAAGGACCCGGTAAGCAACGGTTATTTCGTTTTATCAATAAACGTTTGATCAATGGAGAGCATTGGTCCATGGATTGCGGGGTTTAGAGATACTCCGGAGATTTCGTTCTCCATTAAAAATAATTGCATCGGGTAATACTCGAGGGTGGGGAAGGCAGGGAAGGAACTCGATTCATCGGATTTTTAAAGTTTGTCTTAGAATGTTCGAAGCACTCGACTAACTTGAAATCTTCTTAGACGAAACGAGGGAAAGTTAAGGAACAAGGGAAATCCAATTTCAGCTCCGCGGTGTGTAATAACCAAGGAATGTCAAAATGGGGAAAATGCAGGTAACATTATGATAATTCGCCTTCTTAAATTTCTTTAAAATCTCGTTATTCAAATCTTCTTTGGATTTATTAAACGACGGCAAAGGTGTCACCGTGATAATACGTATTCCCGAAGTATCGAATTATTAGGCTAGTGCAGTCGGTTACCGTGGGGTCGCCGATTGCTCTGCCTTTGATTTCCATTCGGTCATAGTTATTTATTATTTATCATCGTATTATATACATCATATGTAATATACATTATTTAACATATAGTGTATTTATATTCTACACGTTATTATTTACATAAGTATTTATCGAATACGACATATTAAATTCATATATTTATTCCTTTATTTTGATTATTTTCGAATAAAAAGATTTCATATGTCTTACTCGGTAAATCTAACGTGAACCATGCCCAAGAAGGAACCACAGGCACAGCAATTGGTCACCCTATAGTGACCGGTTCCGCTGCTCTATATCCAAGGTAAAATCTATCGATCTATCGTTCTCGAAACACTTTGGTTGAATTTTTCAGCATATTGTTGCCTACATAACCGGCGGCGCCCACGGTATAGGAAAAGCTATCGCCGAGAAAATCTACTGCCATGGTGGTAAAGTAGTGCTAGCCGACATATCCTGCACTGGAATGAAAGTTGCCGAGAGTCTGGGCGACAGAGCTTTATTTTCGTGTACCGACGTAAGTCGAGTTTGTTATAAAACTACGCCCGATATCGTTTCTACGGATTAGGTTCCGCGTTATACCACATAAAATGGCATTACGATGAAAGTTCGCGTCCGACGCTGTTCAAAGCGTTTCTGGAAGACGATCGCGCTCGCTCGTAACTTAGTTTGATCTTAAACTACATCCCCTAAAGCAAATGAGAACTTACAGCGTGCTTAAAAAACGGCCGCGCCGAAGACACATTTTTATTTCCACCTTTACCTTCTATTTCACCCGAGCACCTCGTCGATTCAAGTTCCGCAGACTCGTAACATTTTTTACTGAAGCAAAATTCATTCTTTTATGGCAATTTTGAGGGCGCAAGTAATTAGAAATCATTTTCATTTAATAGTCCAGGAATGGTAAAAGATGTATTTTTAAGTCGTGGCATCGAATCCGAAAGAGGAGATCAAATGCGGTTCTTCTGTTATCGCTACTTGAGCGTTGAAACAGAAGTAGACATGCAAGGAATATTTAGTTAAATTATTAAGTTATTAAGTTACTTCTTCGAAGTAATTAAACCCTTCCCGTAAGATTTATTTTACATCTGCATCGTGTGTCCGTATCTTTATATTCTCTCGAGCGCTTAATTATCGATAACGGAGAAACAGAATTGTATTTATAGAAATATTAATAGAAATTAAGACTTGTGTCGATAATGTGCATCGCGTCTCGATACGAAGCAACGTACTAAGGACAAAGTTTCAATCGTTTGAACACTCGTCGAGCGAAATGTGCCGTCAAATCGGCACATCGATTAAAATTGATCGATGGCACCGTTCCGTAGGTAAGAGTGGAGAAGGACGTACAGGAGAGCATAAAATGCGTGAAAGATAAATTCGGAGGTGTAAATGTGCTCGTGAATTCTGCCGGAGTGGCGAACGTGTACCCGGTGTACAATTTCAAAAAGAAGAAGCCGCATCCGTTGGACTTGTACAAATGCTTGTTCGACACGAACGTGTGGGGTCTGTTCAACGTGACCCGGTTAATGGCCCCGCTAATGGCAGAAAACAAACCGGATGCGAATCGACAGAGAGGTGTCGTTATCAATCTCTCGAGCATGATGGCGTACGATGCGCCGCCGGAATTTGTCGCTTACAGTGGCTCGAAAGCTGCGGTTGCGGGCATGACAGTCCCTTTGGCGAGAGGTCTCGCGCAAAAAGGTATACGCGTCGTTGGTGTATGTCCCAATTTCGTAGACAGCCCCATGACAGGTGAGACCACCAATTTTTATCTCTCCGTGTCCAACATTAAAACCCGAATTCTTCTCTTGAAATACAACGATGCAAACTGCACTCTTCTTGTACTGCTGAATTTTCTGCATTTGTAACATTCGGCAATGGCAAATAGAAGAATTGTACCGTGTCAAATTTAATAGAATTTAATACGGGCTTTCGTAGACGTTCACGGGAACTAGGCAAATTCTTTTAACTTTTTACGCTCGAATGGCAATGATACAATCAATTTTTTTTTACAAAATTTCCTGGATTCTGTGATAGGTATGTGATATGTATGCGATACGTACGATTTGTACAGGAATGATAGTAGATTTGCAATATTTCAAACTAGTTTTACAAAGCCACTCTAATCACCCGTTTATTTCTTCGGACTAATTGAATCGGGACTTTCGACTAACTTACGTTCCTTCAGCTACGCAGACTGCAGAAGTAAGGAAACGCTTTATTGAAATGATGCTGACTCCCAGACGCTACGGAACATGCGAGGAGATCGCTCACATCGTTCAAGCGTGCATCGAGAATCCCCTAATCAACGGATGCAATATTCCCACGCATATGGGATTCAGATACAATCAGACAGAAGACGGCCAGAAAGAGGACGGGAAGTGTTAAACACGGTTCGTTAGAAAACGATTTTTCGTTCGGTTGAGCTTGTTGCGTTAAGTGTCCACCCTCGCAAAAGTGATTAATATATGATAGATGCTAATGTATCGTATAGCAGTTTCTCATAGTAAACTGTACTATTAAAAAACGGTGTTCAAAAATACAGAACCGGCCGTACAACTTTAGAAAATATTCCATTTCTTGCACCAATGTACCGTACTCTATTACATTCGTGTACATTGCATATGTATATTGCATGTGTATTTCACCGGAGAATCGTGACCAGACGAAAATTCTCTATTTTGCGTATGCAACGGAAAACCTTCAAATACTTTCCAAAGCTACAGTCGTTTCAAGGTCATTGTATGGTATCGCGTAACGAAATTGGAATTACGTATTACCATTTAGAAAAACATCGATGACCTCGAAATGACCCTCAAAAACCGGTCATTCGGAAGGTCCGAGTACATCATCATAATGGCCACTTCGAAAGGTTCCACTTCACCTTTGAAACATGCCCCTATCTTCCGTAGAAACAGGTAAATTAAAGCGTCTCGTTTTTCAACCGTGATTCAACCTGTGTACGAATAAATTATTTCATAAAAATCGTCGCCGTGTGTTTGCGACAGTTTGACATACTTCCCTGCAGTACCAGTACATTGTGTCACTGTGGCGAGTCGATGTCCGAAGACAAGTGGCGTCGGAAGAAGTAAGGTCGCAGGCAGGTGGTTCGTTAACCCAGAAGGGAATCGGTTCGCATTTGCCGGGCGTTGGAGGTATCGATGAATATTAGATAGCGGAAAGTTTTCCGGGAAACATTTTGACACGGCTCGCGTAACGACAGGAGCGATAGCGGACGTAAGCGTTGCTCGACGAGCGATCACCCAGCGGATTCTCGAGCACGTCCTGAAGACGGCATCATCAGCGGGGACGTGCAACCGCACCGCGCCGCCACCTACTTTCTCCCGGATGAAATTTATGTATGGAAATATCCGCGTGAGCATTACGCATGTAGAATATCACGACCAGCAGCTGGAGGCCCTCCCGTGACGACACTTCCTTGGAAAATGTATTTTAACGCTCACGATGGAGGCGGCAAGGTGGAAATATGCGCTCGAGCGACCCGTTCCTTTCCTTTCCTTTCCCGCACCATTCGTTTTCTCTCGGTTGCCACCTCCTCCGCCGCGCCGCCTCCTCCTCGTTTTCCTCTACCTTCCCGGGCCTCTCCTCGCCGTCGACGAAGGAGTCTCCATCGACAACCCTACGGGCATCGGCATCGACGCCTACGCCGCGAGAACTACATACAGTCGAGAGCTTCTTTCATATTTCCGCGTGTAGATTTGCGGCACAGGAGAACCGCGTTCCAGCGCGTCCTCGAATATCCTCATGTTTTATGCACGCAAGGTGACAATTTTATCACAGGAAAGAACAGATTGTTAGGAGCGACTGGCAGCGACTCGGACAGTTCAAGTCGGACCGCGGTTTTCGCGTACATTGGTGTAGAAGGTGCCCCGTTTAACGCGCTCGGCATCTTAACAATCATCGTTTCGAGTTCTGACCAGATTATAACAAAATTCACCCTTCGGCAACTAAGCAGCTTTGATCGGAAGCTTAGAAAATAGTTAGATAATTATCGAATGCATCGGAATTGATAATTTGGGACGTAGGACTCAGTTTTCATACTTTTGTATAATCTCCGTGCCAATTCTCAATTGTATGGAATATGATTGTACAATTCCAAACGGTGCGAAATACGGTAGGTATTCGTTTACTGTATTTCCATCAGCAATTCTGTATTCTAAAGGCATTGCATGCTTGCCTGAAGCATGCAGATTGAACGACGATGAAAATGAAGCACAGAAACATCTGTTCGTTCATAATGAAAGCTTCCTAAATGACTGTCGCAGCTCCACTATAAACGCAACATTAAAGGATGCATGTGACTTGATAAAGGAATATTGAAGGCTGCTAACGAACTAATATTAGCAAACGTGTCGGGTCAAAAGACGGATCTAATCTTCGAGCCAGTGGAAGCAATTTGACAGGCAAACGGGGTTTTTCGAGAGACGCTATTTAACCAACACCTTTATTTGAAGGCTTCTATATTCTGTAGACAATACATAGCGCGAACCAATGTATTTTTATATTGATTCGTTACAAAGTTTAGAAATGTTTTCCAGTTCCAGTTTAGAGGAGTGCTTCTACTCCAGCAGCGACGCTCGTCGACAGAACACTGAGAACAGTGCTGACAGCGTTTCCGGAAATGATCGCAGCTTCCTTCAATAAAGCAAGAGCCGCAGGACTCAAGGCGATTACCGTCTGAGCCACGCTGAGGTACGTCTTGAGAATGATGCTCACTACTTCGGCGATGGCGCTAGGTGGGTTCGCGCTTTTAATAGCAAGGTTAAGAGCCGTTTCGATAGCTTGCGGGACAGTGGCTGCTGCAGCGTCGAGGGCTTTGATCAGGAGCTTCCTGGCTTGCTTGGTAGCATCCGCCAATCCGGGCAGGGCTGGCAATTCGCTGATTTTTGTCAGGTCTGGTATCCTCGGGATCGCGATGGTGACATCGCTGAAGTTGACATTGGCCAAAGCATTCTCTAGTTTCTTTATGTCGATATCGCCGGATATGGAGATCTGGATGGCCCTTGCGCTTCTGGAGTTCACCACTTTTTCCGTCGTGCTGGATGGCTGCTGCGAAGGAGGTGCCGAGGGCCGGTGCGGTGGTCGACTACCCGGCGGCGTTGAATGACCTGGGCGCGCCGTGCTCTGGTTAGGATGTTTCGAGGTTGGTTTGTTAGGACGCGACGAGGTTGGTCTATGATGGCTATTAGATCCAGGTCCTTTGCTGGATGGAGGAGGAGCTTGCGAGCTGGATGGAGGAGGACGATGTGGTGGCCTGTTGGGTGGAGGTGCCGGGCTAGAGCCGTGAGGAGGACGATGTGGTGGCCTGTGGGGTGGAGGTGCAGGGCTAGAGCCGTGTGGAGGACGATGTGGTGGCCTGTGGGATGGAGG